ATGTGGGTCTCGTACTTTTTTTTTCAGTCAAGGACTCAAAACATTGATGATAAAATGTTAACCCTAATTTTTGCTATGGTGGTTGTTGGTACTTTACCTAATTTTTTATGTGTTTGAAATATTCAATTTACAATACAAAATGTACTAAGCTACGAGTACATTTAGACAAGTTCTTTAGCTGGTTGAACCCCAATCGGCAACAACAAATTCTTTAATTTGTACTCTGAATAATTCAAATACTGTCATCAGAACAAAATAGCATTACATAATAACATAAATTAAAATATTTTCTTATTAAAATGTTAGTTACAAATAGTGTAACAACAAATGTCAATTATTTTTTGAAAGACAGAATGCAAGAAGGGGGGCATTAAGTGTGGGTTAGACCTTCTGGTTTATATCTAAGTAAAACAAGGTGTTTGTAGGCTATAACATTAGATTGTCTCAGCAATGTCTAAGCTTGTAATTTACTTTCAAATCAGACAGGGGTGAAAAGTTTAATATTGTGTAACTGGGATCAAACAAGTATCATGTGCCAAATGTGAAGACTGACAATTTATAGATAATTCCTTTAGAAATTAAAACTTATATTAAAATTTGATTATTAACTACATGTTAATACCAACTACACTGACATGCATTGAGAATTGTGATTTAATTAAACGTTAATTAACTGAAGTTTTGTAAAAAGATTGTGACAAGCACTTTTCCCTACCTGTATCCAAAAGGTTAATGTTAATTACTTACCATTAAAATGGATAAAATGTGCCCCAGGACAAGGAAAAATGACAGCCAATAATGTGTGTCCTTAAAGGATTAAATAACAGAAAACTGGATCTAAGATTGTAAGAATTGAAAAAAAAAATCACTTTTGGGTAACTGACCAACAATAGTTGCAATAACATTTATAATCACACATTCTTAAAAGCTATTTAACAGCTATAATTTGACTAGTTCATAAACAAAATGTACAAAAACATTATACCACATTCAATAATAATTTAAGACTTCAATGTTATATATTACACCAAGTTATAATTTCAATACAATTACTAATTTTGCATCTTTACACGACTAACATGAAGTCTTGTACTTCACACCATGTTTTGAAGTGACCTGTAACCTTACATGATTAACACGAAGTCTTGTACTTCACACCACCCTGTGAAGTGACCTGTAACCTTACATGATTAACACGAAGTCTTGTACTTCACACCACCTTGTGAAGTGACCTGTAACCTTACATGATTAACATGAAGTCTTGTACTTCACACCATGTTGTGAAGTGACCTGTAACTTAACACAATTAATAGTCTTGTACTTCACACCATGTTGTGAAGTGAGCTCTAACTTAATTAATACAATCTAGTACTTCACACCACCTTGTGAAGTGACCTATAACTTAACACAATTAATACAGTCTTGTACTTCACACCTCCTTGTGAAGTGATTTGTATTTTGTTATATGCAAGCTCATATTAGAAAGGATGATTTTAACAAAATTCATTTGTCCCCGGTTGTATTTGAAAAGTGGACGATAAGTTCAACCTTCTCCCCCGTAATAACATTCTCTAATTCATCCAGCTAACTATTTACCAGTTCTGCACATGCGTGTTACAAAAGAATTTTTCTACTAAATCAATCAAGTCATCCTAAAAATCATGAGTGAACAGTCCTCACAATGAATGTGCTAACAGTAAATATTTCACAGTGGTAATTAAAGTTGATTCATCCCTACAGTAGTCATAACAATTTAATGTGGCTTGCTACAAGATGAAAATGTCATTAATTTAATTTAAACTGTCAATGTTGTGGCTATGCCATAACAGATCCTTCCATTAGACTTCACAATATATGAAGGCACAATGTTGATAAAAAAACTTAATAATTACTGTAATAATGGTATTTAAACAAAAATAGTTCAATTAATGCAGGAGTTGGTAATTAAATACATCTTAAATGCAATATAAGCTTTATTTTCAAGCCACACAAACAAAGCCTGTAACACTTGTCAATCACCAATTGACAAGTGTTACACTGAATTATGAAGAATCAAGTTTAATATTAATTACAATTTCAGCAAATGATATATTGCAAATTATATCAAATCTTATAATTACTTAATAAATTCAGCATGCCATTCTTAAGCCTAACATTTGACAACATACAAGTAACTCAATGTAGGATATAAATTTTTTGTACTATAAATATGCAAGCTAAAAGTATTATTTAACATGACTAAACCAACTTGAAAGTAGCTTATACTTACAAAATTATAACAATTTTACTGTGTTTAAACAGTTTTACCTAAGTATAGTAACAAACGTGAATTTAAGTGTAAGAACATAGTAAAATTATAAATTTCACTTTCACTATATTTTTTTCCATTATATAATACTAACAATAGGCCTATACTTACTAATCTATATTAGTGAACTTACGATAATAAAATTATTGAGTTTAATTTAGTATAACTATTCAGAAAAAGTTTAGACTGTAACCGAGTGATATTTTGATAATAATACATCGCTGAAACTTGAATGTACCAAAGGCTTAGCCAAGCCCAAGGTCAAAGGGTAAATTCGACTTTTACTTCTAACAACAAAATGTGATAGTCTAGTACTTTATTAAGTCGCTTATTTGCAGATATTTGTTGGTCAACTTCAAGTTAAACTTAAAAGCTAATTCACTTTCATAAGTGTCTTAGGCCTAGCTGTGAAAATACGATTCGGTACTGTTGTTAATGTTACTCGAGTCTCAATTTCTCAAGGCTTTAAATATTAGTCATTACTAATAGTAATACTACTACTGTTAAACACACGTCTGTTGTTAAGAGATATCGTTATTACACATTATTTAAATATATATATATATATATATAAGGTTTACCATAAACAGCACTCAAATGTCGCTCTCACCTGTTTCGAACCAAATTTCTTTATAATGCTAGCAAAAAAACCAAAATGAATTAGTGATTACACCACAACCTATCAGTCACTTTAACTCAAGTTATGCTGTGATGAAATAGGTCAGATGCTTCGAAGGCGGAATCCTTTTTCGTAAAACTAAAAGATCTACGCGCGTAGGTATTAACTTAACTTCAGCTACCCTCACCTGTAAGTTTTAATTAGCTAAAAAAATAAATAGATTTAGAATAATTTGCAAAATTTAATTTTTCTAATTAGACTTATTTTAAAAACTTGAAGTTTCATCTTATTAATATTGCTCATTTGCAGACATAAGGTTTTACATTTTACCGCGCAAGTTTATCGATCGTCATTACTATTATGGTTAGTCTTTTACAATACCTATATTATGTTTCACAAAACTTGAGTAAAGTCAAGTCTCGTACAGTTTTTCAACGTATTACGTAATGCAGTTTTACATACAATAAATATTCATAAAATACTTTCAACTGAAAATTATTTTATTTTCAACAAAATAATATCCTGGTAACAGTTACCAATATTTTTATATGAGGTCTACTTTTTAGAATTTTGTCAAGGACAAGTTAATGTAATGATAAAAATATATTATATATATACCGCCAAAATAAAAATTGATAATAGTTATCCTTAATTAGGTCATATCTAAGTTAATAAACAAACGTCGACTGAAAAAAATTATAAATATACATTGTATTATAGTTTTTCAGCAATATTTTAACATCAAATCAGAATAATATGTATACTGACATGCAAATATTCAAAACCATAATTGTTTTTCTCTTTCAGAGTAGAGCTTAAAATTAAACAATGTCAGATGAGGTTAGATGTGTTTCATCTTGCTAACTATCCTTCTCCCCACCCCTCTCTATTATGGACTTCAAGTTATACTGAACCAGACTATAGTATGCCAGGTACACGAAAAAAAAGAAGGAAAAAGATGCTTTCCCGCCATTTTCGTTAACGCTTTCTGACTTCGAAATTGATTGTTTATTTATTTAATTTGTTGTTAATTGGTAAACGATACACTTGGAGATATTGAATTTTAGAATATTTTTAAATGGAGTAAGTTATTATTCGATTTCTTATTTCTAACCTAAACTGTAAACCAGTACAAAGAAATTGGATACGCGGTTTTCCTTTTCCTACACTCACACACTTTCAGTTTGTAATATTTAAAATGAAAATAAAATCACTCTAAACATCTTATATTATTTTATTTTTAATACATTTCAGTAAGTTATATTTCAACTACAGTATGAATATTTTTTTACTGTTTATTGTAAGATTCTGTAGTACATTATTTTTTTATTCATTACGCCGTATCTTGATAAAAGGTGATTTTGTTGCTGTACCAAAGGACAGCCTTTTTTACCCAAGTTTATAGTTAAGTAATAACCTGTCAAGCTGCTCTAAAGTTTCATTGGCCACAAAATGTTGTTTGGGAGGATTTGTTCTACCCACCATAAGTATCGAAACTCGATTTTTAGAGTTATAAGCCTTCAGTCTTAGCGCTAAACCAACAGGAGGCTGTTAGAGAAAATGACAATATATAATTTTTTGTGTATTCTGAAAGAGAATTATTAAAAGAACAAAAAATTCACGATAGTGCTTAAAACAAAACACGTTTATGTTCTTTTCTTAATATTACTTTGATTAACAGCAGTGATTAGAACGTTCACTATATCTTTCTATTATATATTTTTTATCATAGAGATTATTTTGCATCATTAGCTTAGTATATGGAGTTAGGAGTAGCATAATTCTCCTAACCTAGCTGGGTAGAGTCTCGTGAGACATTATTGGGATTGTGGCCGGAAAAACAGCGAGGGTATCCAACTGATGACTCAACTTATTTTAATCATTATAAGTAAGAATTTAAGTATAATATATTAAATCATATTTATTTATTGCTGGGTTGATTTTTAGTTCCGATTTATGTCGGTAGCTTGCATTGATCAGAAGTTAGTATTAATTAATTCTTTGCTAAATTATCGACAGTGACAGTTAAATAGATCTACATAGCGGTAATATGGAGAATTCCGCCAGTAAAGATTACTACAATATAAATGGGAAAGTATGTTTCAATATATTTTTTTTCAGTTAAATCTTATGACACAAAATCCGACGTTGAAATGTCGAAAATTATCACAAAAATTTTGTTTTTGAAGTTCAAATCAATAAAATGAAAACAAAGCAACAAGTTTACAATAAGTTCTTTCATCAGTGCTTATCGTGCCCAAACGTTCATTAAGAGTGACAGTTCTGTATCTTAGGTTAGATCGGATAGTCTCGCACAGCTACACAAGGGTTATCTTCTCTTGTAGTCCCTAATTTTTAACCGATAGACTAGATAGAAGACAGCACCCTCTGGTAACTCTTGTGCTACTATATCTTACCAAATAGCGAGATTTCATCATTATTCTTATAGCGCACTCACAGCTCCAGAGCGTGGGACACATATTTGCGGCAACGAGACGCCAGCCTTAAACCCTCGGATTCACAGTCCCAGCACGCTACCCACAAGGCCACGTTCATACTATATTGCAGTGAATCAACTAATTATTCCTGGGTTGTCTTACGTATAGAAACCGACCAATTATATCTGCAGTAAACCAATCAAGTTGTATGCGTGAAACAAGTCTTTCTGCAGTGAACCAATCAAGTTGTACACGTGAAACAAGTCTTTCTACAGTGAACCAATCAAGTTGTACACGTGAAACAAGTCTTTCTGCAGTGAACCAATCAAGTTGTATACGTGAAACAAGTCTTTCTACAGTGAACCAATCAAGTTGCATACGTGAAACAAGTTTTTCTCCACTGAACCAATCAAGTTATATACGTGAAACAAGGTCTTTTTCCAGTGAATCAATCAAGTTGTATACGTGAAACAAGTCTTTCTCCAGTGAATCAATCAAGCTTGTTTACATGAAACAAGTTTTTCTCCACTGAATCAATCAAGTTGTATACGTGAAACAAGTCTTTCAGCAGTGAATCAATCAAGCTTGTATACGTGAAACAAGTCTTTCTCTACTGAACCAATCAAATGAAACACTTTGACTTCTGATGATGGATCAGTTTAATGTAGGTCGTTTACATGTATGTCTCTGTTTAATTCTTAAATAATAACGGATTTAAAAAAGAACAGAGAGGAAATTTAACACTGCATAATTTTAATTATACAACAGAAGTGTTTGATCACCATATTTAGTGATCTTCTTCGGTGTTGATATTTGTCTGGGAACACTTATCACCTTATACATACATGGCCTAGTAGTTAGCGTACGGGCCGCATACGGAAGGTCCAAGATTCGAACCACGGTATGTCACTTAACACGCTCTGCACTTTCAGTTGTGGGGCTTTATAACCATGACAGCAAATCCTGCTATTCAATTAATTAAGAGAAACAGCATGAGCATACGGGTGTTCCTGATTGGTCACCTCCCTCTGGTCAGCCAATCCTGCTATTCAATTAAGATAAGCAATATGAGCATACGGGTGTTCCTGATTGGTCACCTACCTCTGGTCAATAGTTCTAAGTTATGGAACATAATGACCTGGACGTTTATCCCGTGTGTCGCCCATAAGTAAAAATACGAAATCCTTGGTCATTTCCTTAACGAAGATTTCTTCCATTTGTAGAGATCTATTAATTAAAAGTAATTTTATAGTTCCACATTATACACTAGAGAGCGCCTCTGGCGGGTGAAAAATGTTCAGTAATTAATTAAAAGTAATTCTATAGTTCCACACTATACACTAGAGAGCGCCTCTGGCGGATGAAAAATGTTCAGTAAATATTTAGAAATTCAAGTTAGCTCCTGACGATTTTGGTATTTCGGAAAACAAAATAAAATTTTTTTCACGTGGTTCAGAGGTAAGTTTGAGAGCTTATAAAATTGAAATTCGAGATTCAATCCCTGCAGTGGGCAGAACGCAGATAACTCAGTGTGAAACTTTGTGCTTAAGACAAACAAAGAAAACTCACGTGCTCAGTCACACACATATCTGTTTTCGAGACTGATCGATAATCCAACTTTCTATATATTTAAATATATCAAGGCCTATTACTTTAACCGCCGTCCACTTTTGGGGTGGTTTTAATTTCGGTTACTGAACCCTCAAGTTTCAAAGTTTTTTAAACACCACTCACTGCCGAGATTTATATATTTCGTCATATTGGTCAGTTTTTGCCTGTTACAACAATGAGTGTAAAGAACTTACCAATAAAAAATTGAGTAAAATCACGTATTTTTTTAATGTAAAATACGTATAGAACTCCGGCAGTAATTAGAGACGAGGGTAATTTAAAAATTGATGGTATTTTTATTAACAAAATTTGTATGAGTCACATATTGTTAGTAACCACCAAAGTTATGGACCCGAAAGCAATTTGCCATATAAATTAGCTGAGAAAAATATGTTTAAAAATTTGAGAGGGTCCCATATAACCCCCCCCCCTCCCAATCGAAAACCCTAAAATTGATCAGGCATAATCCTTGGCAACTCACTGACGAAACCAGCTAGTTTCTCAGATTCGACATTTGACTAAATTTAGATTTATAATACTTGAAATTTACTGAAGAACTGACTTGAGTAGCAGCCTGTGTTTCTTTTCAACAGTTTTCATTTGATTGAACGAAGATTATTAATAATACTTCTTCCCAGCCTTAGGCAAGTGTTGCTTCTTTCTAATTATTGAACGGTTTTAATTAATTAAGTTCAACGATGAACCAAGTCTCTTCTCCAAGAAAGCCTATACCGAAGCATAGACTAGCGCTGCCCAATCAGAGACAAGGTTGCTCTAAATGTAGATTATCTACAGGCCCGTACGCAAAATGTTTGAATGATGCGAGATCAAAAGTCAACACATATTGTGTGAAGCACAATCAGCATGCTAATGCTATGGAGGTCTGTGAGCATGCGACTATCTCAAGTCACGGGATGCTAATGTTTTATCAGAAGATTGTAGACTATGTAGAAAACGTTAAATACCATAAACAGCTGCGTTATAACTATATAAGCATAATATTTTTAAAACAAAAATAGAGGGTTCAGCTGAAACCCCTGCGTACGTGCATGATCTGCCCCTGTTTAATCAAAGTCAAGTTTAACTTTAAGCGTAGATTATATAACCTTGTTCATTTCAGAACAGTTTAACTCCAAGCTCAGATTATCTGACCCTGCCCAATCAGACAAGTCTAACTCTAAACGTAGATTATCTAACCCTGCCCAATCAGACTAGTCTAACTCTAAACGTAAATTGTCTAACCCTGCCCAGTCAAAAACG